ACCGAGTGGTTTCTCTGATGACTGAAGCTTGTACTGGGGGCATCATTTTAAGGAGTGTGATGCATAGAGCCCGTGATTCCACATATCATGAGTTCTGCAGAATGAACGGCAGGCACTCTCTGCAACCAGGGGCGGAAGCAAGAGGAATCTCCCAGAGTGAGATACTGACCAAAGGCCTTGCTGCGGGCCGGGCACGGTGGCTCACGCCTGGAATCCCAACACTTCGGGAGGCTGAGGCGGGTGAATCACTTGAGGTCAGGAGTTTGAGACCAGCCTGGCCAACATGGTGAAACCCCATCTCTACCAAAAGTACAAAAATTAGCTGGGCATGGTGGCAGGCGCCTCTAATTCCAGCTACTCAGGAGGCTGAGGCAGGAGAATCACTTGAACCCAGGAGGCAGAGGTTGCAGTGAGCTGAGATCGCACCACTGCACTCTAGCCTGGGCAATAGAGCGAGACTCAGTCTCAAAAAAGAGAGGAAAAAAAAAAAACCCCATTGCAAACTCGGACGAGGCTGGGAAAGATTGTCAAATAATCAACACCTTTATCCCCCTCTTGCTTCACCAGAACCGACTTTCGGTCCTCAAAATGTCCTACCTACTAGCTGGACACGGTGGCTTACACCTGTAATCCCAGCACTTTGGGAGGCCAAGGTGGGCGGATGACTTGAGGTCAGAGTTTGAGACCAGCCTGGCCAACACAGTGAAACCCCGCCTCTACTAAAAATACAAAAAATTAGCCAGGCGTGGTGGCAGGCGCCTGTAATCCCAGCTACTCAGGAGGCTGAGGCAGGAGAATCGCTTGAACCTGGGAGGTGGAGCTTGCGGTGAGCCGAGATCACGCCACTGTGCTCCAGCCTGGGCGACAGAGTGAGACTCCGTCTCGAAAAGAAAAACAGACCCTCTCTGTGTGTCCTGAGACTGAGCAGTGGGTGTGTTGCCTTTTTCTGTGTATCGTCTGTTTAGTTGCTGCCTTTTGATTTGACAGTCATGCTGCAAAGCTTGGAGCCCAGCTGGCCGATTTACACCTTGAGAACAAGAAGCGTGGAGAGACGCTCCTGAAAGAGGCGGGCACAGTGGGTATGGCACTGCGCGGGCCGTGGGTGCTCCTGCCTAGAGGAGGACGTTCAGCCAGGGTGGGCTCAGGTGGGGCCGTGCAGCAGCCATGGGAGGGTCGGACGTGGGCTGATGCCAGAGCAAGGGAACGTCAGCCTCAAGCCGCATCTCAGTGCACTGAACACGGGGAATGTGATGCGTCTGTTGTGTCCTAAATGCATTTGAAAGACAAAACATTTGCTGGACGCGAGACGCGCCTAGTGTTCCAGTTGCTTTTACCTCTCGTTCCCGGGGAGAGTGGAAGCAGAGGCTCTCTGGCTTTCTATAAAAAGCCGGAGCTTGGACCACAGGGTCTGTTCCTGTAAAACAGTCATACTTGAGGCTCAGAATTACAGCCATCGTGTCTGACCTTTCTAGAGCGTAACGCGCTGTCAGGATTGAGGGAATTTTCCGGTATTGTAATCTGCTGACATTTGGAATCTGTGCGCAGCCCACGTGGTAAATGTGGGCAGATTAGCTGACGATCGGAACAGATCACCAAGGGTCTGCTGTACGAGACGTGCTGTTAGTCTGTTCTGTGAGGGTCCATGACGGGTCCCCCCAGGCTGCCTGTGTGGCGAGGATCCACTGAGAGGCCCCCCAGGTCGCCTGTCCTGCCCCTTCCTCCAGTCTTACAGAGTGTAGTCCATTGGGATTTTTCTTGAGTTAGGGAGACTGCAGAGGAGTGAGCTTATTTCTTTTCTTTTTCTTTCTTTTTTTTTTCTGAGATGGAGTTTCGCTCTTTTCCCCAGGCTGGAGTGCAGTGGCA